TGATGCTGCCTGGCCTGCTGTGTTCCTCCAGCTCCACACTGTGTTATATCTTGGAACTCAATGCCTCTCTTTACAATGTTTTGTTTCCTTGTCCTGCCAACTTCAAAGGTTGATTTGTCAAAGAATGGCTGCATTTCAAAAGTAATCCACTGCTGTAGCGCACTTTGCAAAGACAAGCTAATCTATGATCAGCTGCATTTAGAAGCAACCCTGTTTCTTTCTTATTGTGAATATCCTTGAAGTTAGCCAGACAGAGAGACAGGGTGGTCATGAGGCCTATGAGGTACTTGCCTTCATTAGACAAGGCACAGAATATAAAACCTGGAAACTCATGCTGGAACTATATAAACACTGGCTAAGCCACAGCTGGAATACCACATAATGTTTACCCTTTTAACATTTAGAAAGGAATTGGACAAGCATTCAAAGTTCTGTAATCTACAACGTCATAGGCCAGAAGCTGGAAAGTGGGATTAAGCTGGATGGCTACTGACCACCTAACACTTATATGATGGGGCTGAATGGCCTCCATCTGTACTGTAAACTTCTATAAGGGGCGGGGGGGGGGGTCGCAGAATGCCAAGGATTAGTCAAGTTTCACTGCGTTACAAAGTTAAATAAAAATTATTGGCCAGCTTCCTGCAGTCCTGGAGGTTTCGTTTCTGACCTGAGTCATTTGAACCTGATCCATCTTGGCTTTGTCTATCTCTACGCTCTATGTACCTTGGCTTTGCCCAGTGCTGTTGCTTTGTCCCTAAGTTCCGTACATTGTCGTTCGGACACTTTCAAATCTCCCTCCATCCGATCCATCCAGCTCATAAACTGTCGGACATCGTCCTGGTAACTGGTCCACTGGGATAGTGCTCCCTCAAGTTGGCTGAAAGCAGAATCACGAACGAAAAATTACGTTAGTTTGATCTATCTGAAAAGGCTGATTCATAAAATCTGTCCCACTACCAGAAACTAGCCTTCAAGTGGAGCAATTGCAGCATTTTCTGCACTGATAAATTTCACTTACAACATCGATGACACTTAAATAGTTTGTGTAACCGCACCTTATTCCAATCGGACCATTTATCAACACACGATAACTGATGGAGGCTGAGGGACACAACGGTTTTTGAATGAGGAATAATTGGTTTCTGGTTTTTGAAACTGTGTTCAAGCACCAAGTTAGGACATTTCATAATCAATCACTTCAGTTAGCCTTTCCCTGTGCAATCTGGGGAGCAGCGAGCTGTAAATATAGGCAGCAAGGAGCGACACTGTGCACTGTGAGCCTCATCAACATGTGAGGTCAATCAGGCACAATGTTAACAAGAACTTGTTTAGTTTTCCACAACCATGTCCTGGTCTGGTTCCTTTAATCAGGATTTGGTGACTTTCAAGTCCTAGTCCTGACACTTCAGCACACAATCCAGGCAAACATTCCCGTGCCATGCTTCAGCACATAAGAAGTGGGAGCAGGAGTAGATTACAGGGCCCTCAAACTCACTTTGCCTTCAACGCAATCACTGCTGATCTTCTGCATTAACATCATTTGCCTTTACATCCCCGTCTCCCTCGATTCCCACAGTGAGGAATAATCCCAGCCTTGAATAACGCGGCGTCCATAATCTTCTGAAGTAGACAATTCCAAAGAGGGACAACCCTTTACGGGTGAAGCAATATGCCCTCAGCTCAATCCTGAATGACCAACCCCTTATCGTGAGATTGTGCCCCCGCACCCCATGCTAAATTCCCCAGCCAGGGGAAACAACATCTCGGCATTGATCTTTTCCAAATGTTACATTTCAATGAGATGATCCATTCATTCCTCTAAACTCCAGAGGGCAAGGGGCTAATTCACTCAGCCTGGCATCGTCGAACAAACCTCCTAAACCTTTAGAGCTTCCAGTTGTGGCTACAAAGGACAGTATCTAATCCCTGACTAATACTGTCCTGAGTCACTCCCACATTGTTTATCACTCTCCCTGCTTGAATGGTCCTCCCACTCTGTGGTCAGCTTTGCCATCCATCCAGCTGTCCCTGTCCCCATCTGCACAGGAAGCCAATGCCTCTTGGCTGTTGGGTCAAAGCTGGGGCTCTCCTATCACTGCAGCCTGGGTCCCTGAACCTGGCTGAATTACAGTCACAGCCTCCTGTCCATTTGATCAACTCGACGTAACCCTCGAGGGATATGACTGCCTCAAGCGAAGGAAGGGACTGAATACCTCTCCCCGCTGCGTGAAGATTATAACTCGGACACCAGCTCAACAGCCCTGGACCCAAGCAGCTTGGGTTGCAGGCACCCATCATGGATACGGTTATGTGGGATTAGGACGCTTTCTGCACCCTCCCACATGTTGCTGTCACAGCCCTGTCATGTCCATCGAACCCTATCTGTGTATTTATTTAGGTAACGAGTTGTTAGTTTAGAAAAGGATTTGCGCATTACAGTTGTCTAACTTGGAGACAAAGGTAAATAATTTAGTAGCTGCTGGACCTGAGGAGAATAAAAAGTAGCGCCCCACCCACTGTGCCAAATTCCTGCTGACACCAAACGTTACCACCCTGCCCACTCTGAGGGAGTGCCACACTATTGGAGATGCCATCTTTCAGATGGAACATTAACTATCAGCCTGGCCTGCCTTCTCAGGCCACAACACTATTCAGACAGGAGTGGGAATTTGCCCATGACTCAGTTAACACTCCTCTCTTAACCAACAACACTAAGTGCCCAAGAGCCAGTCGTTCACTGGGGAACTTGACTGGGCGGATGTCAAAAGGATGTTTCCTCTTGTGGGAGAATCTAGAACCAGGGGTCACAGTTTAAAAATAAAGGAGCACCCTTCAAAACCGAGGCGAGGAATTTTTTTTAATATATGTCAGAGGGGTTGAGAATCTTTGGAATTTCCTTCTTCAAAAGCCAATAGATGGAGAATTTTGAAATATTTTTTAAGGCAGAGGGAGATAGATCCTTGATTGAAAAGGGAATGAAAGATTATTGGGGATAGAGTTGAGGTTAAAATCATGTCAGCCAAGAGTATAGTGAATGGTAGAGCAGGATTGAAGGGCTGAGTGGTGTACTGTTGTCCCTTGCTTGTAATAACTTACTGACATGGGACACAAGGCAAATTTCAGGCTCAAAAGTGGACCTTGTGATTCAGAGGTAAGCAGTAATGGACAGACTGAGCTGACTTATCTAGGCCCATGCATGGACAGGAGAGCAGGCAGGTAAAGTGATGGGGGGTGGTGGTGGTGTGTGGTGGGGGTTTGGGGAGGAACCGGGTGGGCCATGGCCCATCAAGGCCCTGAAAGTGGGTAATGAATGTTCATGAAAGGGCCTGATCCCACCACAGCCTGGATTAAACTGGGCGAGGCACGTGGAAAACAGTTGGCACAGTGGGATTTCTCACCTCAAGTGAGTCCCTGAAGGACTAACAACACACCTAGCTCACTCCCCGACCCCCCGTGGTCTTCTGAAACCACCGTGCCCCCAGCACCCCTCACATTGTTGACCCATCGCAGCTCACACGCCCTGTGTGCAGTACTCCATGATGGCCACCACTCCTGTTGGCACTGGAGTGCCACCTGCCGATCAATGACCGATCGGCAGGGACTCCTCCCCCCAAGTACTGTCTTTCAAGGGGCTCTCCTTCCTTTGTAGCTTCGGCCAGAGCAGGGAGTGAGGGTGCAGAGGCCTAGACCCCAGGTTCGATTCACCAGCCTGATCCCACCGCGTGGACTGACCTCTTGCACTGGATGGAGAAGGATAGCAGCGAGTCCCAGGAATCCTTCAGACCCACCATCTGCTCGCGAACAGCAGCGGTGCCCTCAGGAGAGGTGCTCCTGAGTACCGACTCCCCACGGGTCAGCACCATCTTCAGCTGGATCTCCTTCTCCTGCCGGAGGGCGAGCAGAGCCTGTGGAAAGAGCTGCGGTTAACGGAAGCCCGGCAAGCTGTTCGCTTCACCCAGGCGGAGGGCGGGAGGGCATCCACCACACCGCCGTCCCCTTGGGAAGGTGGCACCTTCCTCTTGAGCGACTGTCGCCCGTACCTCGCCAAGGCACGGCCCCAACGTTGCCAGACAGCGACTTCAAAGACTTAGACCTCGTCGGAATAAAGGAAAGGGGCTGAGACATGCTCCCCAGTCGGGATGTTGTACGGGTTTGAGGGAAACACGGGAGGTGATGGTGGCGGAGACGATGGGTACAGTGTAGATAGCCTGCACTTGTCAGTGGAATGTGCTGTTGGTTGAATATCTAACTGCCATGGAGTTGATGTCTGCTCCGGAACATTCTTCACGGTTTGCCAAGCAATGAGTAATCCTGCCCGTGCCTATTTAGGAGTCTAATTGCATCCATTTCATTCCAGTGGTTTGGAAGAACGAAAGCAAAATAGAACAAGAATGAGGCAGCTCGACAGCACTGAGAAACAGAGGTATGTTCCTCGTATCGAGACAGTTAGAAAGCTCTTCACAAGGTCTCCCACAGTGAGTCAGTCCTTTAAAAAAATACACTGGGCTGATTTTGTCTTCAGAGGGTTACTTTTGCTTCACGGAATCGTACTGTTTTTATTTCATTCACTGCTCAGTCATCTTCCATTCCTACTCCTGTGTGTCTCACGTGGCACTCAAATGTGCCACCAAAGACCAGACATATTTCCCCTCAGAGATAGGAGGAACTGCAGATGCTGAAGAATCCGAGACAACAAGGTGCGGAGCTGGATGAACACAGCAGGCCAAGCAGCATCATAGGAGCAAAAAGGCTGACGTTTTGGGCCTAGACCCTTCATCAGAAATGGGGGAGGGGAAAGGGGTTCTGAAATAAATAGGGAGAGAGGGGGAGGGGGATAGAAGATGGATAGAGGAGAAGATAGGTGGAGAGGAAACAGACAGGTCAAAGAGGCGGGGATGGAGCCAGTAAAGGGGAGTGTAGGTGGGGAGTTAGGGAGGGGATAGGTCAGTCCAGGAAGGATGAACAGGTCAAGGGGGTGGGATGAGGTTAGTAGGTAGGAGATGGGGGTGCGGCTTGAGGTGGGAGGAGGGGATAGGTGGGAGGAAGAACGGGTTAGGGAGGCAGGGACGAGCTGGGCTGGTTTTGGGATGCGGTGGGGGGAGGGGAGATTTTGAAGCTTGTGAAATCCACATTGATACCATTGGGCTGCAACTGGGGACAATAGCACCCAGCCCTGCCGAGTCTTCACCATCCCCCCAGACCTCCCCCTTACTGAGGACGAACGGTCAGTCCTCAGTAAAGGGCTTACTTTTGTCCCCCTCCACCCAAACATTAACGAATACCGGTCACATTTGGACATAGAGCAGTTTTTCCACCGCCTCCGCCTCCACGCTTACTTCTTCAACCGTGAACCTAACCCTCCCTCTACTGACCCCTTCTCCCGCTTCCAACACACCCCCTCCTCCTGGACACCACCCCAAGACCTCCTACCCTCCCTCGACCTCTTCATCTCCAACTGCCGTCGAGACATCAATCGCCTCAACCTCTCCACCCCTCTCACCCACTCCAACCTCTCCCCCGCAGAACGTGCAGCCCTCCGCTCCCTCCGCTCCAATCCCAACCTCACCATAAAACGCCCGGACAAGGGAGGCGCAGTTGTAGTATGGCGCACTGACCTCTACATCGCCGAGGCCGGACGCCAACTCTCCGACACCTCCTCCTACCGCCCCTTGATCATGACCCCACCCCCGACCACCAAACCATCATCTTCCAAACCATCCACAACCTCATCACTTCAGGTGACCTCCCACCCATACCCTCCAACCTCATCGTTCCCCAACCCCGCACCGCCCGCTTCTATCTCCTTCCCAAAATCCACAAACCTGAATGCCCTGGTCAACCCATTGTCTCCGCCTGCTCCTGCCCCACCAAACTGATCTCCAACTATCTGGACTCCGTTTTCTCCCCCTTGGCCCAGGAACTCCCTACCTACGTCCGTGACACCACCCACGCCCTCCACCTCCTCCAGAACTTCCAATTCCCTGGTCCCCAACACCTCATCTTCACCATGGACGTCCAGTCCCTATACACCTGCATTCCCCATACAGATGGCCTAAAGGCCCTCCGCTTCTTCCTGTCCCACAGGCCCGACCAGTCCCCCTCCACTGACACCCTCATCCGCTTAGCCGAACTCGTCCTCATCCTCAACAACTTCTCTTTCAATTCCTCCCACTTCCTACAGACAAAGGGGGTGGCCATGGGTACCCGCATGGGCCCAAGCTATGCCTGCCTCTTTGTAGGTTACGTGGAACAATCCCTCTTCCGTACCTACACTGGCCCTAAGCCCCACCTCTTCCTCCGTTACATTGATGACTGTATCGGCGCCGCCTCGTGCTCCCACGAGGAGCTCGAACAGTTCATCCATTTCACCAACACCTTCC